CGGCTCACCGCAACCTCCACCTCCCGGGTTCAGGCAATTCTCCTGCCCCAGCCTCCTGAGTAGCTGGGATTACAGGCACGCACCACCATGCCCAGCTAATTTTTTGTATTTTTTAGTAGAGACGGGGTTTCACCATGTTGATCAGGATGATCTCGATCTCTTGACCTCGTGATCCACCCGCCTCGGCCTCCCACAGTGCTGGGATTACAGGCTTGAGCCACCGCACCCGGCCCCAAGCAAATTTTAATATGCATATTTCCTGCTTTCTTAAACAGAAGATAGCTTATACTGTTTTTAACCTGCTACTTTTCACTTCTCAGTATGTTTTAGATATCTTTTCACATTAGCACATAGACATTCCTTATCCTCTTTAAAGTTCCACAATATTTCCTTAGATGATTGTGTTGTAATTTATTAAACTAGTCTCAGGCTGAGGGTCATTTGGATTGTTTCCAATCTCTTACTATAACAAACTGTACTAAAATAAGCAAACCCTGGCTGGGCGTGGAGCCTCACATCTGTAATCCCAGCAGTTTGGGAGGCCAAGGTGGGCATATCACTTGAGATCAGGAGTTTGAGACTAGCCTGGCTAACATAGTGGAACCTTGTCTCTACTAAAAATACAGAAATTAGCTGGGTATGGTGGTGGGTGCCTGTAATCCCAGCTACTTGGGAGGCTGAGGCAGGAGAATCGCTTGAACCTGGGAGGCGGAGGTTGCAGTGGGCTGAGATGGCACTAGTGCACTCCAGCTTGGGCAAACAAGAGAGAAACTCCATCTCAAATAAATAAATAAATAACACACTCTGTACACTAATTATTTGGGAGTATAGCTATAATATAGGATAAATTCCTTGTAGCAGAATTGTCCGGTTAAAGAATATACACATTTGTGATTACGCTAGTTTGTGTCAAATTGCACTCCTTGGGAGTATACATCAGAAATGATCAGAAAGTCTGTTTTGTCACATTCTCACCAACAATGTATTGTCAAACTCACTTTTTTCAGACTAGGAAAAATAATATCTCAAAGTACTGTTAATATGCATTTATCTTATAATAAATGAGGCTGGGTCCCATTACATATGTTTAAACACCACTTACATTTTCTTTATGTGAACTATGGCTTCATATCTTTTGCCTTATTTTTATTAAGTTCTTCTTCTTTTTCTTATCAATTTCCTGGAGCTCTTTATATATTATGGACATTAACATTTGAGACAAAATGTCAGGCACAGTGGCTTACATGTGTAATATCAGCACTTTTGGAGGCTGAAGTGAGTAGATTGCTTAGGCTCAGTTCAAGAGCAGCCTGGACAACATACTGAGACACCGTCTCTATAAAAAGCACAAAAATTAGTTGAGCATGGTGGCACATGCCTGTAGTCCCAGGTACTTGAGAGGCTGAGCCAGGATGACTGATTGTGCCTAGGAGTTCAAGGTTGCAGTGAGCCATGGTCATGCCATTGCACTCCAGCTTGGGTGACAGAGAGAGAACCCGTGAAAGAAAAGAAAAGAAAGAAGGAAGGAAGGAAGGAAAAAGACAGAGAAAGAAAGAAAAGAAAGGAAAAAGAGAAGAAAGAAAAAAGAAAGGAAGGAAGAAAGGAAGAGAAAAGAGAAAATTAATCACCAATGTGATAGTATTAACAGATGGGGCCTTTAGGTGGCGATTAAGTCAAAAGAACTGAGCCCTCATGAATGGAATTGGAGACTTTATTAAAGAGGCTCAAGGAAACTAGTTTTACCACCCCCTCCGCTTTCTTTTTTTTTTTGCCCTTCCATTCCTCTGGCATGTGAAGACACAGAGGAGGTACTATCTATGAGGAACAGGCATTCACTAGACACCAAACCTCTTGGTGCCTTGATCTTGGACTTTCCAGTCTCTAGAATTGTAAGAAACAAATTTCTGTTGCTTAAAAAGTACCCAGTTTGGGGTATTTTGTTATAGCAGTGCAAAATAGACTGAGACATGACCCTCAGTTTCTTCCTCTATCATTTTGGCCTAATGACACCAACCTCATATGGGTTGGTAAGCGTTAAATGAGGTAATGCATATAAAGTGCTTGGCACAGTGTCTGGCACATAATAAACACTCAATAAATGGTATCCGTTATAAACTATCATAGACAAGTCATGAGCCTGAGAATCAAATGTCTAGGGAGACCAAGTAGGTTATCATAAAATAAATGTTTGTAGCAACAAGTGGCAGGGGCTATGTTGATCTGAAGAGTTTATGTCTCCTCTAAAGACACCCAAATTAAAATTTTCTCAAAAACTGTGGGAGAAACAAAATATATCTGGTATCTGAATCTGGCCTCAGGACTCCCAGTTTGCAATCCCTGGCCTAGGACATTTTGAGATGCATCTTATTGCTGACGTCTCCCTCACCCACCTCTCTTCTTTTTTTCAGTCTACATTGAAGACCAAAAGAGACACAGTGAAAGGCTACTTCCTGGCTGGAGGGGACATGGTGTGGTGGCCAGTAAGTGGTCTTTGGTTCAATTAAAGTCACTTCTTAAAGAATCTTCAAGTGCTAGGATTCTGTACAGCCTTTGATCTCTCAGCGCTCTCTGGTTTCATGTTGTTTGGAAGTCATTGTCTAAACTAGAGAAGGCATAGCTCCAGCTCAAATTTGTTTAAACAATGAAAAGAATTCATCAGCCCACCTAAGGGAAAAATCTGGAGTTAGGTTTTAAATATATATATTTATATAAATATAATATTTGTATTATATTTATATAAAGTGTATAATATATAAAAAATATATTTATATAAATGTAATATTTGCATATTTAAAGTATATAAATAATATATATTATTACATATAATAAATACACAATATACTTTATATAAATATAATATAAATATTACATTTATATAAATATACATTTTTATATAATATATACTTTATAATTAATATTACTTTATAAAATTATATTTTACATATATTATATACTTTATAATTAACATTTTATACTTTATATAAATATAATACAAATATAGTTATATAAATAATTATATATAATATATAATATATAACTATGTATTATATATTGTTATATAATTATATTCATATATAAATATATACATGAATATATAACTATATAATTATATATTCATATAAATATATACATATATACATGAATATATAATTATAATAAAATATACAATATAATTACATATAATATATAATATATAATTATATATATTAAATACAGTTATATATGCTATAATAAATATGTAATTTTATATATATATATATATATATATATATATATATATAATCACAACCTCAAATAGAAAACCAGTATCATTTGCTCTACATAGAAAAGCAGGGAATCATATAGAAATAAAATGAAAAAAATGTGCTTTTCTATTCCGAACATTCATGCAGCTGCATTTAGTTAATGACTAGGCTAGATAGAAGTCCAAGATGGCTTTATCCACATTTCAGGGGCTTTGGGAGGGGTGGCTGGAATGCTAGGACTTCAGTCTCTTCCTATGCTCTTTCATCATTCAGTGGCCTAGCCCAGGTTTTTTGTTTGTTTGTTTGTTTCTTCCAGGTATCTGAATTCCAAGAGGGCAGAAATGAAAGCTACTAGGCTATTAAGGTCTTGGCCTGGAAGTCATACAGTGTCACTTCTACCACATTCTGTTGGTTAAAGAGGGAAGTACAGGGCAAGTACTGGACATGCTCAGGAAAGACCTGAGAAAGCCCTAAGCTCTTGCCTCTGGCTGACCTTGAGGCTCTACACAAGCAGGAAGTGCAGCCTAAGGCAGAATTATAAGCTGGGAGAATTGCAAAGACTGGGAAAATTATAGGCTTCAAGGATTTAAGAAAATGTCTGTTCAGTCATTAGCTGCCCAATAAACTGAGCATAGATTTCAGTGGCCACACATGACAAAGAATGTAGACTTTATAAACTTAATTAAGAAAATCATGAAACAGTAGAAGCAGCAACAGCAGCAAGAATTAACAGAAGAAACAACAATAAACCTTGAAGAGTAGGAATGATCAGATTTCTAGAGTATTCAGTGATATTATTTTAAATGCCCACCTTTAACAAAAAAATTATAAGACATGCAAAAAAAAACCAAGAAAGTATGGTCCATTTGCAGGGTGGAAAAAGCAGTTGACAGAAAGTGTCCCTGAAGAAGGCCAGATGTTAGATTCACTAAACAAAGGCCTTAAATCAGCAATTTTTTTTTTTTTTTT